ATTTCTTTCTGTGGTAGACCAGTTGCCATCCTCTATAGAGCCCAATCTATCCTGCTATTTACCCATAGCTGGGGGGAGAAGAAGATGATTCATACCTTTCCCAAGGGTATTAGCATGTAAGTGAATGTAATGGCAACTGGAATTCAAACTTGGCTCTCCGATTCCTCAATCTGAGCCAATATATCATATGCAATATAGGTGAACAGTTCAATTAGAAAAATTGAGAATGAATACAATGTATATAAATACTAATTTTAGAGACATGTCATAATAGATCATTCCACTGTGCCTCCTCCTCCACCAATGTAGTACTGCACTTAAATTCATAATATCTAGATATTATAGAGAAGAGTTCATCCGAACAATTAGCATGAAAATATTTATAGAAAAGGCAAAGAGTAGTGGTGGGAAAGTGACTGAATCTGAGATATCATGATCAACAACATTGCAGCTTCTTCTTTGGATTTTATCAAGAATCTCTAAATGTATAACAGCAGCACCAGACCATATGTGGCAGCAATATTCAAAGCAAGGACGAATGGTAGACTTATAAATATGCAAGATAGATTTTGGAGAGAAAAATTGTGAACCAACTTTTCTAGCAGCAGACCTAGATATAATCTTTCCATTTTATGTCAACAGAAAATGCTAACCTGAGTAGGTGCAATGAGTCTCTCTCATGGAGGTTAGCATCAGCCATGCTGATGGAAGACAGAAAGGCACCTCTCAGATGATTGATAAAGAGCAGTTTTGTTTTGAAGGCATTAAAATTAACAAGCCATAACAGTAGATTATAGTTCATTTTTTTTAGATCAGCTGCCAATTTGACCTTGTCAAAATGATCTGACTTACTATTAAGACTGGAGTAAATAGTTGTGTCATCAGCAGATATACTGAATTAGGAGTAGTAGTAGTAGTAGTAGTAGTAGTAGTAGTAGTAGTAGTAGTTCTTCTTTTTTTGTAATCATAGGGCAGATCCAAATGCAGAAGCCACATTAACTCTTTTCCACAATGGTCTATTAACAGCAGCCATCAGCAATTCTGGTACAGTTATACTTGTCCATTTTTTGACATTGTCTAACCATTTTTTGTTTTAGCATCCTCTCCTACATCCACTTTCAATGATGCCTTACATAATGGTTTTGCACTGGCTGTCGTGCCTTGTAACATATCCATACTACACCATTTTTCTCCGTTTGACAATGGCGAGAAGAGGTTCCTGGTGTTCTACAAAACTTTAAACCCTTTTCTGCACAAACTCATTTTTTTCTTTTTAAGAGTTTTATCATAAACTAAATTGAAAATATAAGGGAAAATTTAAAAAAATGAACTTATATTTTTTTTTTTATAGAGAATGAATGCATAGAGGCTAATTCTAAGAGAAAAGTTATTCAGATCAGGAAAATGAATCAAGAACTTTCAAATGTAAAATTATTTAGTATGATATATTGCATGTACTTGAGTATAAGCCAAATTCATGTATAATTCAACTCCTGAATATTTCAGTATAAATTTTAAACCCTCCAGAAAGAAATTTACTGTGTACAGTGCAACTGGCACTGAAAATGCAGGATTTTTCAACTCTTCAAAAAAAATTACCTGTTTATAGTTTGACCCCTATTTTTGGTATAAAAAAACTGAACATAAAAACTTGCACTATACTTGGGTATATTGATTTTCTAAGCTTAGCATTAGATGTGGCACAAGGTCGAAAGTATGGGGTGCCCAGTGAGGATCAAACTCACTATTCAGTTGTAACTATTTTAGTGAGACAAACTTACTAATGATTACACTTTAGCTTTACGCTACCACTTTTTCATCAATGTCAATTTTCGTGCTAAAAGCGGATCACAGCTTCATACATGTTTCTGAAAACCTTAACTTCTCATTGGACAATAAATATTAAAATTATCTCGTAGATCTTCACGTACATTGTTCTCAATAAGTAACACAAAACATATCAGGCTCCAGACTGAGTTTTGTAAGGCTCTTTCTGAGTGGCTAACAAATATTAAAAAAACAATTTACCTGCTCACCACCACGTCCAAATAACATCAATCTAGTTTTTGACCTGACGAAAAAACAATGCTCTCAGGATCCTATTACGTGATTAAAAAACATATAAATTGAAGGTATGAGCGAACCCAGTCAATGAGAATTTACGACGACTAGCATTTGCTAAATGAGTTCACGACGCTTGTATCATTACTGCAGCGAAGTACAAAGTTAGAATCTCAAGTTCTTTAACACGAAATAACTTTGCTGTAATTCAAGCTAAAATATCAACCAAACAACTCACTCACCAACTTCTGCAACTTACTAAAACTATTCAATCACGTTATTGAATCTTACAAAACTTAAGTACGAACAATACATTCAACTACAAGCAACAAAAACAAACGGAACATTCACTTCTCCAACTTCTTTAAAGCTAAAAGTTTATCAACATATTTTCAGCTTTACAAGATTCTTTGAACTCTCTTTCAGTGAATATTTTGAGTGACAAGATAATTCAGCTTTTTGTGAGCTCAGGTAAAAAATTTTTTTAGTAGTAAAGACTTTAGCCCAGTCAAAGGGAAGTAACTCATATTAATAGTTATTGTAAAACTGTTGTCATTTATAAATGTAAATATTGTACCTGTTATGAAAAGTTATTTTCTTGTGTTCTTTCTCTTGTTTGCTTTTTGTTTTCTTGCACATTCGTAAAGTAAAAAAATGTGTGGGTTGATTTATGCCGTCAATACAACACCATGCTGAGGTGCCCTGTAATGGTTATTTTCTAAGCATAGTTTCAATGTGGCACAAGGCCGAAAGTATGGGGCACCTAGTGAGGATCAAACTCATAACTGATCTAGCAAGACGAGCCTGCTAACCATTACACTATGCTGAGGTGCTCACACTATATTTGGGTCTATATATGGTAACCCAAATATTAATTAAAAATAGGGTTTTGGTTTTTGTAAAAATTACAGTAAAATTTAACTAATTTGTTTTTTCTGTTTGAATTACTGGGGCGAGGAGTTAACATTATTTACATGCAGACTATTATCCTCCTCTTTGTTGTTGTTATCATGTTTCAACTGTTGTGCCTTCATCACCAGTGTATGTTGATCTGAGTAACCTACAGGGAATTTCAAATGGAACCCTTTATTTAATCTACAAGAGTAGACTGTTCTTGTTCCATTGGCCATGTCTAGGACTATCTCGTCAAGTTCTTATTTTCAGTACTGCTCAGTTATTGCTTGCCCTGTTTCCACTGAGACCAAGTTCACACTGCCTGGACCAGAGATTGAAATCACGGTTACCAAATTTAGAAACCACCATTTTAAGCCACTTGTCTATTGTCCTGTGGCGAACTTGGAGTCTTAAATCTAACCTACCAGCTGATGAGTGCTGCTGCTGCTCGTCCTGCACTTACTTCTTTTGTTATAACTGCTGCTGCTGTTAAAGACTTGCAATCATTTTTTTTCTTTATTTACAGCTCCTATATTGCATTTATGTCTCTGCTAGACCTACAAAGTCTAGCATATGCACTGATTCTTTCAGATGTTTAGCCCTCCAGTGTTCTTCCTTATCCAGTATTTTCACTTCATTCTATGGGGTCTGATGACTACCATTTTCCCTTTATACATGATCAGCCATGATTGATTTCATTGTCTCTCCCTTCATTATTGCATTTCGATGTTCCTTTTCAGCCATACTTTTAGGAGTGGCAAGATTCACCTTTATATTCTTTGCTACAACGGCAAAGATCTATGACCTATACTACGTCAGGACAATATTCAGAAGCAGCTCCACTCTTCAGAGAAATCTCTGCTGAGTAAAACCTAACATGGGGAAGAACATAACCAAAAACTGTGTGTACTCCATTCCTTGCAGTTGTGGCAAAGAATATAATGGTATTTTTATTATGCTACTAACCACTATGAATGATAACAATAAAAAATATTTTGATTTCAGGATGGCTTAAAAATTTTTCAGAATGGTTCTGAAACAATAGTGGAAAAAGTCTAGAGTCCTGCATTCATCGATGCTTAGTGAATGTTTTTGGTGACCAAACAATGGATGCGAGCACAGTTATGCAGTGGGCAACATTTTTCATCAATAGCAAAGGTGTATAAAAAATGCAGCTCAGTCTGCTGCTTCTGTTTTATTTACTAGCAGCTCTTATTCATTGCTGGTAAAAATGCATAGTCACTAGCGATTACTATGTGGAAAAATAAAATATTGTAGTTGAAAACTTTCTCTATCTAACAGTGTTATTGTGCTCCCTGTATCTGTTGTAGTTTCCATGGAAATAAATAGGAGACACTAATTTCGTAATAACAATTTTTGGTTCTTTATTTTATGGACCATTCAGTGAAGTTCAGTTACATTTTTTATCCCCAATTTTCATTACATGTTTAAAAGTTTGTTCAACAGAGTCAAGAAAAAAAGGGGCACCACTTAGAGTCTAACACTCTAACTCTTAGACTGATCCACTCAAAAAAATAGGGAAAATTTGGAGGAGGGGAATAATTTTTAATTTTGTAGTTTAGCATTCCTTTTAGGCCTGAATTATAAAAAGCAAATTTACCATTTTTTATTCATCTTCCTTATAATTTTTTTTTTTATAATTCTACTTCAAATACCCTAAGTGTTGGTTTGTGAATTTGGTGATAATTGTGAGTTCAATCCCTAGCCCAAGTAGTGCAAAATTAGACTCGGTGGAAACAAAGCAAGCAATAACTGAGCAGTACTAAATAAGAACAAGACAAGATATCCCTAGAGAGACGTATTCAGCGAACAAAAACAACTCCTGTCCGTAGAATAGAGGCTTTTTTTTAGTTTGAAATTCCCTGACACTTTTTACCCGGATCGAGAAGTACCTGAAGGAGGCCAGAGGGCACAACAGCCGAAACGCTGTGATAACTAACAACAAAAAAGATGAGGACAATAGTCCGAATGTAAACAAGATTTTTCAACTGTTTGTTTAAATGTTTACCTTGTGTTTTTTACACCCATGGTTTCACAATGTGCATATCTCTCTCTCTCTAAATAACGTGTTTGGTCGGTATATTATTAATTGGTGAACTGGAATTACTGAAATAGTGACTTCATGAATGTAAACGATTCTAGCGGATTATTTCTTTCTCAAAAAATAAGTAGTAAATACAAAGTCCCTGTTAGTGTTGTTGTCAATAAATTCGGCGAATCGTACTTTTACAATTTTACTTACTCTGTTCATAACTGGCCGTATGCTAAAAAAAATGTTATATGCGTATGCACGCAAATTTTAAGTAAAGCAAACACGATAAAAATAACCGCAAAAAAATAATTTATGCAAATAACTGAATAAAAGTAAAACATTAAAAAAATTACTTATAAATATTCCAAATTCAAGTTTAATATTTTGACAACCAAAGTTTTTTTGAGAGCAAAATTTAGTTGACTGAATGTTCAAATCGTAAAATGAACTAAAATTAAGAAAATTTGTTGACTGTTTTCACTTTTCACATAACATGCTAGCGTTGTTTTTTTTAATATTATTTTTTTACGAAAAAAATAAGATGATTAGTACTGAGTACTATGAAGGAGTCCTATGCATATTATTTTAAAAGTACATTTTCATTTACTTTTTAAAAAAACACTGTACTAAAAGAAATTAATAAATAAATAAATCAAAAGTTTGTTTATTAAATAAAAGGGAATTAATAACGGATACACCGTCAAATAGTGACTTATAAAAATGTCAGCTGCAGTTGATAATATACGAAAAAAAGAACTGGTTATTGAAAGAAGCTGATGGAGTATAACGAAATTGAAGATAAACTTAAACAATGTAAGTTATTATTTCATAATCAAAATTAGAAATAAACTTTTGTTTTATGTATTTTATTTTTGCATATCACTGGTTCGTTTCGTTTCGTGTATATACTCACATAAGAAGATTAATTAATTTGGTTGATAGATAAAAAAATGATCCATTTTATAAGTTACAAAGTTCGAAATTGACTTCGTAGTTAATTTGAATGTCTAAGTAAAAGATTGCAAAAATCAGGAAAAATTAGAAACCAGGTATTTTTTGGCTATCGTAAACAAACAGTAGTAAACTATAACATTTAAAAAATCATTTGAATTGTATTTGTTTTTTTTTGTTTTTTTTAACAAATTTAATTTAATTCAAAGTCATTTTTTAGAACTGACCATTTTATTTATTTCCAACAAGAAGTGAAATATTTCGTGCATTCATTAACAATTATTGTTCGCAGATTTTCTAAGCTTAAAACAGTTGCCTAAAAATGGAATTGATAAACACACGTTTTTAGCTCAGTCCTGATTATATTGCGATGGCGAAAAAATAAAAATGAATTCAAAGAAAAACCTAAGAATAACAACTAATATTTGAAATTTAATAACATAACCTCGCCTATTTTGGTGCTAGATCCACTTTTCAGTAACAATTATTCACCCTAATTTAGATTAACGATAAACAAACCACTTGTTAAATTTATTGGTGATCCCACAACTGTTCAATGAGGCCTCAAGTGTAAAAATATTGTGAAGATATTCACTAACCGCCCCACCCGGTCGGATGTGGCACAAGGCCGAGTTTATTGTGGGCTATCCGAGCACGTAGGCTCGGCCAAAAATTCCCCGTTGACCCCGTAAAAACTGTGTCGGGTAGCTGTCTACCACCCCAGACGAGACTCTGCCCTTCAGCATAGCCTCGTTTGGGTTCCTCGTTTGACAAACACACTGTGGAAAACCACAGTGATGTGAATGAATGTGATGAAATCGCATCACTATTTTAGCCAGTTAGGAATAAATTATTGCAAACCAAATTAGCACATATTTCAACACAAACATAAAAAAAAAACAAAATTTATAACCAGTAACAATCAAATATGAATTTGTTATATTGATATAATTTCAGTTTATGAAACTATGTAAGTTATAACATTTAGAAAAGTAAAATCATAATTATCTCTAATAATAATAAATGGTATATTGAAAATATTTAAAAAATGAATCAATTTAAATATCATCAAAACCATTTTCATCAGATGACTACTTAAGCTTTTCTCCTCATCTAAATTTTTAAGTGAAAGATATGAACAGAAAACATTCCAAGGCTTACAGCCATAACGCATTAAAACACCAGTTCCCATATAGTCACCAAAGTTTAACAACATTGAGTTTCTGTCTATATTTCTAAGATGAGGTATTATTATGTACACTGTTTACATTATTTGGACTATTGTCCTCATCTTTGTCGCCATGTTTATCACAACATTTCGGCCGTCTTCAGGTGGTTGGAATGTCAAACTGAACCCTTTATTTTGCTCACTGGAATAGACTGTTCTAGTTCCACATGCCATGTCTAATGGATGTCAGTTATCTCCTGTTAATTCCCCTCTGAAAGTTCTCCACTGCCTTAACCAGGTATTGAACTCACACTCTTAGTGTCCTGTCACTGGATCTAACTAACGCCTTTATCCACTGTGCCATGTGTCCTTGAGGACATCCATTAGACATGGTACGTGGAACTAGAACAATATACCCCAGTGAGCAAAATAAAGGGTTCAGTTTGACATTCCAACCTCCTGAAGAAGACTGGAGCCTACAACGGCCGAATTGTTGTGATAAACATAGCAACAAAGATGAGAACAATAGTCTGAATAATGTAAATAGTGAACATTGAGTTTATTCAGTACCTTGATGGGTAACCACTTTGGAATACCAGATGCTGTTAACTTGGATGTGTGGGTGGTGTAATTAGATGATGGCTCAGAAATGTCAACTAGCGAGCTGAGTTCCAATTCCAGTCAGGTTCGTTATATTCACTCATGCTTAAATATTCTTGGGAAACGTATGAATCCAGCTCTTCTTCACCCAGTTATAGGTTAATTAATAAGACTTTTATCACTAAATCATTATTATATGGAAAAAAATTCTTACAATTTAAAAATATTTTCTGGCTTTAAATAACCTACAAAGGGTTGATAAGCCATACAAAATAAATGAATCAATAAAAACATTCCAATTGATGGTATCATGTTGCATCAGAAATCATTAAAATTTTAATTATGGCTTTAAAATTGGTTGACAATTTCATCTTAAGACATATTATATATTACCTGTGGATTTTATTATTGGCAAGGAAGTTCTCTACAGCAGATATTGAAGTTTTAGTGTATGGATTTTCTTTATTTGGGGGAGAAGTAAATTTCATTTTTTATCAGTGGTGTTGGGTTAATATGAATGATATAAATCAACTTGTTCATCAGGAGAATTAGCACCTGTTATGAAAAAGTAGAAAAACTGAACTCATTATTATCCTAATGTTAAGGATTTTTTTTATAAATTCAATTTGATGGTTATAGATTTTGTATATTATTCATACAGGTTTGTTATCAAAATTTCTTGTTCTTATCTGTTGTAAATCTTAAATTTAAAAAAAAGGCAGTTGTATGCCAAGCAATCATTAAAATTTGAATGTTGATGTTGAGAAATGGTTAAATTCACAAATGCAAGACAAAAGTTTTAGCAATAAAATTGGTATAAGCAAACTGATTTTGGGAAAATTTTCAGAATAAATACATATATTTATTTTTCTGTACTATTTTTCACCCAATATTAGAGCTTATAAGTCACTAAAAGTAGAAGGTTACTGAAATGAGGTTGTTGTAAGAGTGTAATGTGAGGAAGTAAGAATTATGAGGATATGTAGGATAGTAGTTGACCTTATACTTGAAGAGGTTACAATTGTAGTGATTTGGGAAGCATCCTCTTGGGAGTTTATTCTGCAATGTAACAGTTCTGGGTAAGAAACTGAGTGGAACTTCCTCCTTACTAATGGAATATGAAGGGAATGATGATGAGTTGACCCTGTGTATGTGGCATGGTAGGTCCTAGCTGTGAAAGTCTGAACTGGTAGAACTAAATGTCTAAATATTTGCCATGAAAGTAGGGAGAGGCTAGCAAGATTTGTGTGAAATGAGCTGTAGGCTGGAAAATAATTCATTCCTCATTGTTCTTATTAAAAATATTTACAATAATTTATTTGGTGGTTGAAGATTTTATTATGCAAATTAATGGTTGTTCATAATGTTGTGTGTATATATATATATATATATATATATATATATATATATATATATTATTTATTTAAAAAATTATAATATAAATATGTTATAAAATCACTACAAAAATAGCCATTTTGTTTCAACACCTCCAGTGTCTTATCAAGTGATGATGTTGAATGTAGAATAAATGGTTTTAAAGGTTTCAAATTAATTAACGATCCTTCGCCAGGGGAAAACACTGTTACACAAGCTAGAATGACCAATCAAAACACAAGTATACGAGAATTCAAAAACCTTGACAACGAAGTAAGGTTATAATAGCCATTAAAAGCTTTAAAGTTGGGGTTATACAAAAATAGAATTTATTTTAACCAATAAGTATTAAATTATATGATAAAATTTGATAGTAAAAGTAAAAAATTACCAATTTTAAAATCTAAATTTAATCTCTATTAAGTTTAAAAATTATAAAATTACTGAGGAGAAAAGAAAAAATACATAGGTTATTCAATTTATTTTTTCATTGAAATTACATTAGAATAGACGCTAATATCGGCTGGTCTTCCTGACAAAATGTATATATTTTAATTCCAAGTGTGTGACTGGGGTGCTAACCTCTCACATAAAACAATACAAACACACTCAGTTTATATGTAAGCACCCAGACATATTTAGATATACACACACAAAAAGGTGACAAGACAGGAAACATCTCCACGGCCCTTTATAAAAAAAAAACAAAAAAAAACAAACACATACATACATAATTAAATGTGCATGCATTTTCTATATACATAGACACTGATAAATAAATGTACACACATCCACATACATTGACCTAGACAATCTGATACAACAACCAAGAAATATTCAAGACTGAAAGTGTTATTAAACGAATGCTAACCACTTATTAAAATATAACTTATACGGGCAAAT